ATTCACTAATTGAGAATTTAAGATAGGAGATATGGCAAACGTGTGTTTTAGGTGCTGATGAACTTGAACGATGCAAAAGATATAGTGGCACCCCTTGCTATATACATCGCTCAACTCACCCATCTGTTCTTCCAGTTCTGGCAAGCCCAATTTCTGTTGGATTACAGCGTCGTTCCATACGAGTCGATGTAAGATATTTTTCTGAACTAACTTAACTGCTTTTGTTTAACATTCTCTTTCTCATTCTCTCACACTGTTCCCTTCTCTGGTATATCGACACAAAGTTAAGGTATAATGACTGCGAATGCAAAAAGTCGGATAGCTTTTTACTTTCGTAATTACTTACATTAATCACGATTTGAATAGTTGCAGAGCCAATTGGTATTCCACATCGAAAAGGTGTAGAAAACTTTTACTCTTAATCATGAACAGGACTGTTTCACCATGCAAAATAACCGCCGGCAAGATTGTGACATTATCCATCGAAAGCTTTGGAATTGTGAGCAAAACTGCATCATTTGTTACGTTTCACACTTGCTGTACATCGTTTTCCTAAAAGCAAATTCAATAATAACTATTGTTTATTCTCCAAAGGTCCTAAAGACATCAATGTCTTATTTCACGATGCTGCGTTCCTTCCACTAACGATTTCGACATGTCAGTGAAAACGCATAACTGAGCTTATTGTAAAATTCGAAAATAATTGTTAACAAAATTCAAAACAATATGATTCAATGTAAGATAATTGATTGACATTGAAATTTCGAATAAATATATATAACCTTATCGTTTTGTATCCATTACTTCCAGTAGAATATGATACACCCATTTCATATAACGTCACATTTGTTACTTCATTCATAGTTTACCGTTTGTGATTATTTCCAAGACACGATTGGGCCATTGGACGGAATTAAAACGAACTTCACCGAAGAAGACATTCTCTCTCTGCAAAAGAAGGCGATATTACCGCAACTATCGCATTGTGCGATTGTGAGTAAAAGCGGTACCAATGCGGTAAGGAAACAACGAAGTACAGCGTATACTGTGTTATCGCAAATTACTTAATGGCTCACTTAACCAATGCGCTGTTACTACACATGAATACTCACTTCGAGAAACAGAGTTGAAAAGGGTGGGATAATAGCGGGGAACTAGAGAAAGAGAATTGTAAACGTAGCATACTGTGCTGGTTGCGTTCAACACCGCTGCTTGATAAACTAACAAGCGAGACTAAAGAAAGAGAATTAATAATAGCGTACTTTACGAAGACATGATTACGGTAATCCACAACGCAAAACGGGAAACTGGTAATAATGTTTCTATAGCTGCGCTGCACAATAAGTATCCGCAAGGGATCCTTAATAGTCTGTAATCTTTAGCCTATATCTGGAACTTTTGTCGCTAAAAGCGCTTCTAAAAGTGGCTTATAAGACTTTTGATTGGCTATAAGTCACTTTTAAGGCCGCCTTTAGTAGTGAAAGGGAGTTCAGAATAGAAGCCTTAGTATTTCCAACAATGTGCGCGCAAAAGAACATTTGGCAGAACCGATATTACGCGATACCTAGAATATACATGGCAATAGTAGGAATATGGCCGTACAACAATGTCCGAAATAGATATCTAAATTTTGCACTGTCATTTTCGTTCTCTTTCAGTATCTTTGTGCCGCAGGTATATGTATCGTAGTGCGATAATAATCTAATGCGAAATAATAATCTAATAATCTTCAGCTACTTGCAATCGCAATATACATCAACGTACATATCTTATGTAACTAATTTTAAGGTAACATACTTCCTGGCTGACTCGATCAGTGTCACCGATATATTCCAATGCGTACCATCGATAGCTATCACTGTATTATTTAGCTTTAAAATATTCAGCTTAATGCTAAATACTAAAAAGGCAAGTAATATTCATATTTGACGATATAATTAAAATTAAGTTATTAGGTGAATAGAATCTCAGCGTGAGGGCAGTTTTTTAGAGAAACGATAATGCATACACTGAGAAAAAAATTATATTAACATCAACAAATATTTCCTTGATGGGTATCATTTACATATTTACTTAAATCTACATTCTCTTTATTTAAACCAGATATTGCTTATTTAAATCAGGTAAACAATATTTGATTTAAATAAAGAGAATGTAGATTTAAGTAAATATGTTAATGGCAATTATCAAGGAAATATTTGTTGATATTAATATAATTTTTCTCACAGTGTATGTATGTTTATAGATAAAAGCTTGTCTGAAAACGGTAGAGGAAGACTGGCTGTCACTGCAATCGGATATCGAGAAGACTATTCTTCAACAACGCACCGAATATGGGCAACGTGTAACGACGTTTTACGCAAGTATGTTAAAAGAGCCCAAAACATTCAGGAAAATAAAAATATTGCAAAAATCGAGAATTAATTTCTCATCTTTTTCACTTCGTACTGTATCCCTTTAAGAACATTTCAAAGGTATGACGAGGCCATATATATGGCAACTTCTCTGAAATTCACGGCAAATTGTACGTTGTAATTTTTAGTTTTTATGCTGACAACGGCATTTTTCTACTTGCTTAAACCAGTTCTGATGACACTGTTAGAAGATGAAAATTTCTTGAACGTGACAAAATCATCCATATCGGTGGCATCGAAACTACCTTTTCACGTTGAATATAACGAGAAATTGGACCAGCACATCTACCTGATAATGATGCATTGTTATCTCGCCGTGTTTGCTCATGTATTTGTTACAACCGCGGTTGATACCTTATATTATGCTTTGATTCAGCACGCCTGCGGAATGTTCGCGATTATTGGGTAAAAGTATTACATTCAACGATGCGCTAGGGAGATCGCTTAAAGTAACAATGCTACTTTCTTTTAATGCACTCTATTTTTGCTTTGATCTCGTAATCCAGAGAATCTAATTTGTGAAAATATTGACGTACCCGTGACTTTCAGACACATGCTCGAAAATATTGGTAAGGACAATGACGCTAATTTTCATTTCAAACCAAGTAAACAAAGAGACGACAATTATATCAAAGCCTTGAGCTGCTTACGTAGGCATCTTCACGTAATAGAGTACGTCGTTTTGTTTCATCAATTACTATTATATATTTCAAAGAAAGATATATATATATATATATATATATATATATATATATATATATATATATATATATATATATATATAAAGAAAGAGAGAGAGAGAGAAATATCAAGGACACGGAATCATTCTGGCAATTTGAGCGGGAAATGTCTCCCTTATGCTTAATCGATTAATTCGGTTAATAAGTTAATGCTATATAAATGATAGCGAAAGAAACTGTAAAGCTTAATGCTATCCGATTTTCTGAGATGTTACTTTCATTGCAGTTGCGACAATCACCCTTCAAGCTTATGCTATATTTTTGCTTAACTTTGGCCGTAAGAAGGATATTTCATAAGACAGATCGTCAAGATCTCTTAAAATTGTTAGAATCAGTTTGTGTATTAATATCACCACGTTTTTCACGCTGTCAACTTTGCGATTTTACAGATTTGCGGAACTCATCGAGTCCACATACACAAGAATGCTATTGATAAGCGTTAATCTGAATATGATTGCTGGCAGTATACCCGGTATTGAGGTATGTACAATTTCCTCGCACCATATATTACCGTGGATATCTTCGCAGCGTATAGAACAGGTTCCTTGCACTTTCCTGTTTAAAATAATGGATATAAAACGATAACACTACATAAGATTTAGACTGAATCAAAATCAATGTAAATTAATATAAAATGATGGTTGATTTACATAAAAATCCATACCAAACATGATGATATTTTATTATCATTTTTTACGCAGATTAGCCAATTACAATACGATTAATATTCATCGAATAAATATTCTTATCTGAACATGTAACTATTCAATGTTATATATGCATAAGGAATATAAATACTAATTAACTCCGGTCAAGATGGTATGAAAGTAAAAGTAGTTGAATATTTATTCTAGGTAATAATGAATATAAAAAATCCGAGAGATGTTGCAGCTCCTCTAGCTATTTACATTGCACAACTTATTCATCTTTTCCTACAATTTTGGCAGGCTCAATATCTATTGGACTACAGCATCATTCCATATAAGTCTATGTAAGAACAAAAATTTCTTTATTTGTAAATACGCATATTTTCATTAATTATCTTAATCATGTCGCATGTATTTTCGCATGTATTTTCTATAAAGCTCTCCTTCGCCGTAAGGCGAAAACGCGCGATTACAGATAGAAGTAGATAAATGTCTTTAGCGCAAACGTATACAAAGTGACAAGAAGCTTACTTCGAGTTACGTATAGTTCCAGAAGTAATTGGTATCATACTTCGCAAAGATGTCGAAAGATCTTTCTGTTGATTATGCTTAGAGCTTCATCACCATGCAAAATAACTGCGGGCAAAATAATGACATTATCGATCGAAAGCTTTAGCTCGGTAAGTAAAATTGTTATTATCAAAATGTAAGTAAATGTTAATGTAAGTCTACACAAAACGCAACTCCAACGCGAAAATCAAATCAAGCATTTCTTCTCATACCACGGGAGCTTTAATTAAATGATTAAATAGATCTACCAAAAGATTTTGTCAAATAACTCTAGTCAAAATAGGTGTTTCTTACAGATTTCTTGCTTAGAAACAACAATATCGTTGGCCACATTATTCCATCGTGTCAAGTTTTAAAGTAAATTCGAATTTTATATCCAGAAGTCAGCGATTTAAAGAAAATACTGTATAATAAATCGCTTACCGTCAAAGAAATAATAAAAATAAGTAAATGTTTTGATTAACAAATGAATTCCTTATTAGCAAATGTTAAAAAATTATCTAATAAATAGCAAGAAAGTTTGTTTAGGAAAGATAAACGCTTTTTCTATATTTTGCGAAATTAGTGAGAACAAAATGTTTACTCTAATTAGAGTTAATTGACAAAAAATTCTTTGTCAACTAATGTTATTTGTCAATGTTAATTTTATATGGATACATCATATTTATACTTTAATCTTTAATTTTATAATTTAATCACTTATGTAAGTATAAATGGTTATAAATACAACTATGCATTAACATTGAATTTTTATCGGTTGAAGGTTTTGAAAACATCGATGTCTTACTTGACAGTGCTACGTTCTTTCCAATGAAATAGTCTGTATGTAGTTAAAAATCGCATTTCTCGCGTAATAAAATTATATAAAAGATTTTTCTGTGTGCTACTTGCTTGTTTGCTATAGGTTTAAGTTATATTGCTAATTGCGTTAATATCGAATAGATATTAACGATGTATTGATAATTGGATGAAATGATAATTGTATAATTTAGCTAATAATGAGAAACTTCTCACAGCGGCCAAAAATTCTAATAGCCATATCGGAAAAAAGACGCGTGCTTATTGCATCGTAATAATCGTTTTTGATTGCCTAAAACAAGAGAAAAGATTCTTCGTAACTTTAGAAGTTAATTCGTTCGAGCGACTACAAGCTCTGTTGTTGCAACGTGATGAAACGTTTAATCAGCGCATTCAGGGATGAGACGACCAAGACAGTAACATAGTAGCAATGAGAAAGGGATACACGGTTACAGCAAGGTAAAGTAACTACGTAATAATTCCGTAACGGTATAATTACAATCACGTGTTTCCCGCTTCATAAACAATTACTAATAATGTCTCGTATTGGGCACCGAGTTGCGAAATATATTCTCAAGGAATCGTTGATAGTCCGTGACACGTTAGTATTTCTGAAATTGTACGAATGCAAAGACATTTGCCAAAGGCGTTGTGCTTACAATATGTATGATCTTAATGGGAATATGGCCCTATCAAGCACTTCGAGATAGATATCTGCTCTTTGTGCCGTTGTTCACGTTCTCTTTTCTTTTTTGCCATCATCAGGTCGCAGATACACGTCACAATTTATCGAAATATTTCAAAAGTTAACTGCATATATTCTCCAGTAATTTCCTGTCAAAATATCCTGTTATTTTCCTGTTATTTAAAATAATAGATACAACGGTCGCAGTAACTTTACATAAAAGTTAGTCCAAATTCAAACCAACGTGAAACAATGTAAGTTGATAATGGATTTACATTGAAATTTTGTCTAAACATATGTAGTCTTATTTTGTATATATTATTTCAAGCAGGATATGATACACTCGTTTCATATAACGTCACATTTGTTACTTCATTCATAGTTTACCGTTTGTGATTATTTCCAAGACACGATTGTGCCATTGGACGGAATTAAAACAAACTTCACTGAAGAAGATATCCTCTCTGCAGAAGAAGGCGATATTACCGCAACTATCGCATTGTGCGATTGTGAATAAAAGCGGTAGCAATGCGATAAGGAAAGTACAGCATATACTGTGTTATTGCATTAAATTACTTAATGGCTCATTTAACCGATGCGCTGTTACTACACATGAATACTCACTTCGAGAAACAGCGTTGAAAAGGGTGGGATAATAGCGGGGAACTAGCGAAAGAGAATTGTAAAGCATACTGTGCTGGTTGCGTAACACCGCTGCTTGATAAACTAATAGGCGAGAACTAAAGAAAGAGAATTAATAATAGCGCGCGTACTTTACGAAGACATGATTACGGTAATCCACAACGTAAAACGGGAAACTGGTAATGATGTTTCTATAGCTGCGCTGCACAATAAGTATCCGCAAGGGATCCTTAGTAGTCTGTAATCTTTAGTCTATATCTGGAACTCACTTTTGTCGCTAAAAGCGCTTCTAAAAGTGGCTTATAAGACATTTGATTGACTATAAGTCACTTTTAAGGCCGCCTTTAATAGTGAAAGAGAGTTCAGAATACGAGCCTTAGTATTTCCAACAATGTGCGCGCAAAAGGACATTTGGCAGAGCCGATATTACGCGATTCCTAGAATATACATGGCAATAGTAGGAATATGGCCGTACAACAACATCCGCAATAGATATTTAAACTTTGCGCTGTCATTTTCGTTCTCCTTTAGCATCTTTGTGCCCCAGGTATGTATCCCCAGATAACATACAATATTTACAAAATATTTTAGAAATATAGGTATTAAATATTTTATTGGCAGTACAAATAAGTCTCCGCCGTTTTTTATCAAAAATTGGACATTTATTGTGAAAGAACGGTACTTTATGTTTTATTCAAAGTATTGTCCATCGCTAACCACTACTTTTTCCCATCTTTCTGGCAACATACGGATACCGCGTCGGAAGAACGCTTCATCTTTTGAGGCTATCGACGAATCGATCCAATTTTTGGTATCTTCATATGATGTGAAGTGCTGCTCAGACAGGCCGTGCGTCATCGATCGAAACAAGTGATAGTCAGAGGGAGCAATGTCTAGTGAATACGGCGGGTGAGGTAAAACTTCCCAATTGAGTGTTTCCAAGTAGGTTTTGACTGGCGCCGCATCATGTGGACGAGCATTATCATGCAGGAGAATAATTTTGTCGTGTCTGGAGTAGTAGTGGGCGCGTTTTTCCTTGAGTGTTCGGCTCAATCTCATCAGTTGTGTTCGGTAGAGAGCCCCAGTAATGGTTTCGTTCGGTTGAGCAACTCATAATACACGACACCAAGCTGATCCCACCAAATATACAACATGAGTTTTTTTCCATGAATATTCGGCTTAGATGTCGATGTTGAAGCATGGCCACGTGGTCCCCATGATTTCCTCTTCTTTGGGTTATCGTAGTGGATCCATTTTTCATCACCAGTGACTATACGATGCAAAAAACCTTTTCGTTTATGTCTGGCAAGCAGCATTTCACATGTGCAAAATCAGCGTTCAACGTTTCTCGGCTTTAGTTCATATGGAACTCAATTTCCTTGCTTTTGAATCATTCCCAACAATTTTAAACGATGTGAAATTGCTTGTTGAGTCACTCCTAATGTAAGTGCAAGTTCTTCTTGCGTTTGGCACGAATCTTCCTCCAATAATAATTCCGCGTCTTTGTACACTTTCGGCCTTCCGCTACGTTCTTTGTCTTCGACGTCAAACTCACCTTCTTAAACTTTTCTTAAACTTTTGAAACCGCTCACGACAACTTCTCTCACTTAAAGCAGCCTCACCATATGCTTCTACAAGCAATCGATGCGCCTCAGCTGCAGATTTCTTCAAATTAAAGAAGTAAATTAAAAGTTCTCGCAAATGACGCTTATTCGGCTCAAAACTCGACATTTTCGCACGAAAAAAATTATGTGATGCTGATACAAAATCGCTAATATTTCAAGGTTATGATGTTGCCAGATGTCCAACCTTACGATATGACGTTTTACATCTGACAATTTTAACCATAACTTACTGGTGGGGCCATCTTTTGTTAAACGGAGACTTATTTGTACTCCCAATATAAATATTCAAATGTGTGTGTATGTGTGTGTGTCCGTGAATTTCACACACAGATATAAAAAGGATTACAATAAATATTTAAAAATATTTATGAAAAAAATGTTTCATAAATACTTTTATGAAACATTTCATAATACTTTTATGAAACATTTCATAATACTTTTATGAAAAAGATTATAATTTATGAAAGATTTATGATAAATATTTTTCATATCTTTCATGCCGTAAAACTCTTTCATATCTAAAAATTTCGGACATTAGAATATTTATAAATTATTTAATATCTATATTTCTAAAATATTTTGTAAATATTGTGTGATCTGGGATCGTAATGCGAGATTTGCGTTTTCGTGGAAAATATCCGCGACATATGGAAAGTTTGTCGAAGTAATCGCAAGTAATTGTGCAGACTAATAATCTTTAGCTACTAGCAATGCACACCAACGTATCTCACGTTATTACTTTTAAGGTAACGTACTTTTTGGCCGGCTCGATTAGTATTACCGATATATTCCAGTGCGTGCCATCGATAACTATCACTGTAGTATTCAGCTTTAAAATATTCAGCTTGATGCTAAATACTAAAAAGGCAAGTGACAATCATGTTGGACAATACGATTAAAGTTAAGTTATTAAACGAATAGAATCTCAGCACGAGGGCTGTTTTTTAGAAGGACAATTATGCGAATGAATGTTTATAGATAAAAGCTTGTCTGAAGAGGGTAGAGGAAGACTGGCTGTCACTGCAATCAGATATCGAGAAAACTATTCTTCAACGACGCACCGAATATGGGCAACGTGTGACGACATTTTACGCAAGTATGTTAAAAAAGCTCGAAACATTTATAAAAATAAAAATATGGAAAATATTGAGAATTAATTTCTCACCTTCTTCACTTCGTACTTTAAGAACGTTTCAAAAATTATGACGAGGTCATATTTATGGCAACTTCATTGAAATTCACGGTAAATTGTACGTTATAAATTTTAGTTTTTATGGCGACGACGGTATTTTTCTTCTTGCTTAAACCAGTCCTGATGGCACTATTAGAAGATCAAAATATATTGAATGTGACAAAATCATCTATATCGGTGGCATCGAAACTACCTTTTCTTGTTGAATATAACGAGAAATTGGACCAGCATGTCTATCTGATAATGATACATTGTTACCTTGCCGTGTTCGCTCATTTATTTGTTACAACTGCAGTTGATACCTTGTACTATGCTCTGATTCAGCACGCCTGCGGAATGTTTGAAATTATTGGGTAAAAGTATTGCATTCAACGATGCTCTAGAAGGAACCATTAAAGTAATAATACTACTTTCTTTTAATGCACTCTATTTTTGCTTTGATCTCGTAATCCAGAGACGCAACTCGTGAAAATATTAACGTCCCTGTGACTTCCAGACATACACTCGAAAGTATTGGTAAAAATAATGACGCTAATTTTCATTACAAGCCAAATAAAATAAAGGACGACAATTATATTCAAACCTTGAACTGCTTACGTAGACATCTTCACATAATAGAGTATGTCGGTTTCTTTCATCAATTTTTATTTTATATTTCAAGAAGATATATATATATATATATATATATATATATATATATGCATACAAAAAGAGAGAGAGAAATATCAGATATACAGGATGATTCTAGTAATTTGAGCGGAAAATATCTCACTTATGCTTATCGATTAAATCGTTTAATTGGTTAATATGATTAATACTTTATCATGGAATAATAACGAAAGAAATTAAAAAACTTAAAATCATGTATAAAACGATTAAGAGATTAAAAAAATTAAAATCATGTTCGATTTTCTAAGACGATACTTTCCTTGCAGTTACAATAACCATCCTACGAATTTTTCATTTACTAAATTTTTGCTTAACTTTGACCGTAAGAGAAGATATTTTATAAAACATCGTCAAAAAAATCTCTTAAAATTATTAGAATCAACTTGTATATTAATATCACCATGTTTTTCATAACGCTTTCGAATTTGCAATTTTACAGTTTTGCGGAACTCATTGAGTCCATGTATACACAAGTGCTATTGGTAAGCGTTAATCTGAACATGATAGCTGGTAGTTTACCCGGTATTGAGGTATGTATTCTACAATTTCCTCGCACCATATACTATCGTAGACATCTTCGCAGCGTGTGGGAAAAATCCTTTGCTCTTTCCTATGTAAAATGATGGATATAAAATGATAACGTTATATAAGATTTAGCTTAAATATCAATCCAAATTAATGTAAATTAATACAAAATGATGATTGATTTACATTGAAATTCATACCAAGCACAATGTAATCTTACCATTTTCTATCCGTCATTTTATAAGAACTGCCAATTGCAACACAATATTAATATTCTACGAAGATAATATTTTCATCTCAACATTGTTATATCGTTGTATATATGTTCTATGAGAAATAAAAATACTAGTTAACTTCAGTCAAGGTGGAATGAAAGTGAAAGTAGTTGAATATTTATTCCAGGTAACAATGAATTTAAACAGTCCGAAAGATATTGCAGCTCCTCTGGCTATTTATATTGCGCAACTTATTCATCTTTTCCTGCAATTTTGGCAGGCCCAATATCTATTAGACTACAGCACCATTCCATACAAATCTATGTAAGAACAAAAATTTTTTTATTTATAGATACGCATGTTCGTACTAATTATCTTAATCATCTCGTGTGTAATGCGTGTGTTTTCTATCTCCATCGCTGCAAAGCGAAGACACGCGATTACAGATAGAAACAGATAAATATCTTTATCGCAAATCGTATCCAAAGTGACAAGAAGTTTATTTCGAATTACCTGTAGTTGCAGAAGTAATTGGTATCACACTTCACAAAGATGTCAAAAAATCTTTCTGTTGATTATGCTTAGAACTTCATCACCATGCAAAATAACTGCGGGCAAAATAATAACTTTATCGATTGAAAGCTTTAGCTCGGTAAGTAAAATTGTTATTATCAAAATATAAGTCAGTATTAATGTAAGTCTACGAAAAACACGACTCCAAATCAAACATTTCTTCTTACACCACAGAAGCTTCAATTAAATGATTAAACGGACCGACTATAAGATTTTGTCAAATAGCTCTAGTCAAAGTAGATGTTTCTTACAGATTTTTTTGCTTAGAAAAAACAATCGTTGGCCAGATTGCTCCATCGTATTAAGTTTTAAAGTAAATTTGAATTTTATATCCAGAAATCGGTGATTTAAAGAAAAACTGTATAATAAATCGCTTACCGTCAATAAAATAATAAAAATAAATAAATGTCTTGGTTTACAAATAAATTCCTTATTAGCAAATGATAAAAAACCCTCTAACGAATAACAAACAAGTTTGTTTAAGTATTCCTAAAGTAAGTAGAAAATCAAGTACTTTTCTCATATTTTGCGAGATTAATGAGAACAAAACATATATTCTAATTAGAGTTACTTGACAAAACATTCTTTGTCGACCTATGTTATTTCTCAGTATTAATTTTATATGTATACATCATATTTATACATAATTTAATCACTTATGTAAGTATAGATTATTATAAATACAACTATACAATGACATTGAACTTTTGTTTTAAAGGTCTTGAAAACTTCGATGTCTTACCTGACGTTGCTACGTTCTCTCCAATGAAATAATCTGTACGCAATTTAAAATCGCGTTTCTCGCATAATAAAATTTTATTAAAGACTTTTCTTTGTATGTGTGTATGTATGCTACTTGCTTGCTATATACTTTTAAGTTACATTTCAGTTCAATTGCGTTAGTAGTGAACAGATATTGATGTATTGATAATTGGTATAATTGGATAATGTATCGATATGATATGATATATTGATAACTGGATGAAGTGATAATTGTATAATTCGACTAACAATGAGAAGCCTCTCACAGCGACCAAAAACTCTAATAGCCATACCAGTGTTGATGCGCCGCAACAATCGACTTTAATTGCCCAAGAAAGAGATCAAGAAATTCGCAGCTTTAGAACTCGATTCGTCCGATCGACTGTATCATTATTGCTGCAACGTGAAAGTGAAGCGTTTACTCAGCTTATTCAAGGAAAGGACGACCAAGACGGTCACAAAGTAGCAACGAGGGTGGATACACGGTGCTTATAGCACAGTGAAATAATTGCGTAATCATCCCGTAACGGCATAATTACCGTCACGTGTGTGCCGCGACACAAAGACTTGCTAATAATGTCTCGCATTTCGCGCTAGATATGTTCACAAGGAATCGTTGATAGTCCGTGACGCGTTAGTATTTCTGAAGATGTACGAGCGCAAAGACATTTGGCAAAGACGCTGTTATACGGTGCCTAGAATACATATGATCTTAATAGGGATATGGCCCTATCAAGCACTTCGAGATAGATATCTACTTTTTGTGCCGTTGTTCACGTTTTCCTTTACCATCCTCGGGCCGCAGGTACAATTTGTCGAAGTGGTTCAAGAATTAATTGCACGTATTCTCCAGTTATTTCATAATAACTGTTCTATTATATCGACATATTTCGCAAAATGTTAATTTTCGTGTAGTTAATGTACCTGCTGTTCGCCGCGGCGGACCTCGACGACATATTCTCGTGTACTCCATCGATATGGATCAGCATAATATTCAGCTTCAAAATAGCGAGCCTGATGATGAATAATGAGAAAGTAAGTAGTCGTTGTCAACGAATTTTCAGCCAATACAACACCACGTCTAAGAGCGGGACGTAAGACGTCTCTCAGAATATAAGACGTCTCTAAGACGCCTTTAAGACGTTTTTACAACGTCTTATGATTTTAGACGTTGTGTTGTGTGAGAGAGATACAGTGTTAAAAGATCAGGCAGCTACAACTTTTGAAAAAATAAGGTTAATTTTAGGAACAGTTTTAGAGAATTAAAAAAAAAAGATGAAAATGCATTTCTCTAACTACGCGAATAGTAAAATTTCATATTATCTTTATCATGTGAAAATCTTCTCAGACAGAAAAATCAGAAAACACTAATACGATTGAATAAATATAAATGTATTGATGAAGTCGTAAATAAAAGAAAATTGTCGCTTTTTTTAAACTATTCTGCCTGATCTTTTGATAAGTGCAGTAGGATTATGTGCCACGAATATCACCAGTCTTGAGATCAAAATGCATTAAAATATATCAAGAGCTTGTAAAAATTCGGCAATTTGTCGATAATTTTATTAAGTGAAAAAATAAAACGCAGAATCAAACAATTACCTAAGACGAATTATTATTATTTGCACGAAGTAAGATATAACGACGGCAAATATTTTATTATTGAACATGGCATGTGCTGTTTCGCTATTGTTAATAAAAGGAACATGACTAAAAATCCGACAGTCTTCCACAATAATTGTTTAAACCGCAACATCACCTACACTGGTGATGATCGTGACTCAACTAACGATTCATCGAGCATCCTCGCTGATGCCGATTACGACAAACAGAATTAGAGCTACAGTCAGTACGAAAATAGTCGACAACGCGAGAAACACGCGACACGCCGACATTTACAGTTGAAGACCTGTCTCAGGACGATCGAGAACGACTGGTCGACGTTGAACACGGACACGGAGAAGACGATCCTGCAACGGCGCGCCATGTATGGACAATATATCACAATGTCATATGCGGGTACGTCTGGCAAACGTAGAAATCTTGCGACGGGGAATTCCCTTAGAAATTCGGCGTTCCCTGACGAAAATAAGAAGTTTCATAAACGTTTGTTCAGCGTTTACGTAAGCGTTTACGAGAGTTCGTTGAGAGTTTAAAAATTGTCAGTAGAGCGGAAATTGCAATACTAACGTTTGAAAAGCGTTTGCTGAACGGAGAGAAAACGCTTGTCTTACGGCGTTGTGGGAAAAGTTTTTTAAACGTTTTAAAAGTCTGACAGCAAACTCTCTGCACGAAGGTGTTATCAGCGTTTACTGAGCGTACTTTGAAAAGCATTGCTTCAGTATTGCAGGACTTTCACGAAATGTTATATGTAGCATTTGATAAGTTCTGAAAGCGTTCTAAAAGCATTCAAAATCTAATGGCGTTGAGTAAGCGTTCATATAAAGTTTGAAAGCGTATAAACTCTCAGGAAATTCTCATTGAACGGTTTATAAAGTTTTATTTTCGCCAGGGTTGCTCAGGGACCGCTCGACGTAGCGCGCGTCGATGTACGCGTGTCGATTTTCAGCCTTCATGCAACTGACGGGGATTCTTCTCATACTCAAGTCGGCTGTGACGTTACTGTTCGAGGATACCACGGACACGACAGTGCCCGTCATCGTGGCGGAGTCGAAGTTACCCTTTCGCGTAGAATACGGCGAGAAGCTGAGCCTGTGTCCGGTAGCGTTGCACTGCTACCTGGCCGTGTTCGCTCATATCAACATTACGATTGCGGTTGATAGTCTGTACATCACGTTGGTTCAGCACGCTTGCGGGATGTTCGAGATTGTTGGGTAAGAGTGCCATCGATTTTGCATACAGAAAGATATATACTGCATTCGAATAAATATTATTTATTTCAAATATTTTTTATATTATATTTAGTTTATATATCCGAGAATCGTCAGTTTATCAAATTTACTCAAAATACGTTCTAAATCCTAACTCAGCATTTCAGTCAAGAATATTAAATTAAAACATAAATGCGCAGTTTGCTTACTGTGCTTTTTTACACAGAATTAAATCAGTTTTTACTTTAATAAAATTTCATGATATCCTTGTGAAGAAAATTAATTCTTCTCTTGAACACATAATGGGCTTTTTCCAAATTTTTGACTGTATTCTAAAACTATTATGAAGAAAATGGTCTTTGTTAAAGAAAAAATAAAAGGTTTGAAGAAAGGCAAATAAGCTGAATAATCACTTCTCTCAGTAGTAAAATGATATTTGTTTCTGCATATCTTGAACTCGTTCTTCTGCCATAATAAAGTATGATTCACTGTCCATCTGGTCTGATTACTCTTTAAAAAAAGGCATGTAAGAGATTTAATTGTTGCCGCTTTTCAAATAGCTGTCATCGCGTTGATTAAGTCATTAAAAAAAATACAGAAGAGATAAGTCTCTCCCTGTCTCTCCCCGTCTCTCCCCGCCTCTCCCCGTCTCTCCTCGTCTCTCCCCGTCTCTCCCCGTCTCTCCTCGTCTCTCCCCGTCTCTCCCTGTTTCTCCCTATAATTATTAATTAATTAAAGTTAAATTAATTATTTTAATTTAATTTAATTTTGATTTTATTTTTATTTTACATTTTTTATTGTTTTTTATTAGCTATATGGCATGCACGTAGCGCGCGCATGTATTGTTCTAGTGAAATAAAAAAAAAGATAGATAAAATTTGATCTTTAATATATCGCGAAATGTATGACTCGTTGAGAGCGCGCGCGCATCGTTTGAGCCAATTTGAACTACAATATTTCCAGACACACACTGGAGCTCATTGGCAAGAGCAACGATCACAATTTCAATCTGAAGCCCAACAGAATGACGGACGAGGATTATGAAAAAGCGCTGAACTGCTTACGCAGGCATCTGCGTGTAATAGAGTGAATATCAATGTATCACGTGCAAAATTGTGAAAATATCAATTAATATTTTGTCAATTTAATAATTGGTTTGAGCAAATATATTTTATTTTATCCAATTGACGATTTATTCGAGCAAATTTAGTCGAGAAATGTTTAATTGACGATTGGACTTAACTTTGAAAAATATTGTTTTTTTTTAAATATTTATATTAAAATAACTTAAAATATAATATTTCATTTGTAAATTACTTACAAAAATTGTTATGTGATGTTGACGTTAATATAACACATTAAAACATCACAAAACGTGGATTACATTTTTCAAATTCGTGACTTTTGCAGATTCGCGGACCTGATAGAGACAACGTTTATGAATATATTTCTGGTCAGCGTTTGCTTAAACATGATCGGCGGTAGTATGATCGGCATACAGGTACGTGTTGACTGCTGACGACATATTCTATTACGTAAGCAACCAACATTTTGTTCGGCAAACAAAAGAGCGTTTCACATACGTTTAAAAAAAAAATAATACTCGATAAAATATCTATATCCTTGAATGCAATCAATTCAACGGTCAGAGGAAGCGCGAAGATCTCTCGAAAGCGGTTCGTGTGTTTTAGGTGGTTCTGAATTTAGACAACGCGAAGGATATCATAGAACCTCTCACCATATACTTCGCTCAACTCTTCCATCTCTTTCTGCAATTCTGGCAGGGTCAATTTCTGTTGACCTACAGTGTCGTTCCTTATGAATCCATGTAAGAATCAAACGTATAGGAATATTACGTTACGGTGTAATACATCAGAATGTTTTCGCGTCACGAAATAACATGAATCTTGCTTTCAGTTGCAAGGCAAATTGGTATTACACTTCGGGCAGGTGCAGAAAGATCCTACTCTTAATCATGAACAGAACTGTATTGCCATGCAAATTGACCGCCGGCAAAATCATAACTCTGTCCATCGAGAGCTTTGGCACGGTAAACAGAGTTCCACTGTCACTTTCAATTCTATCCCGCGTTCTGCTTTTAAAGTTGTCTCGTTCTTCGAAGGTCCTGAAAACGTCGATGTCTTATTTCACAATGCTGCGTTCGTTCAAATAACGACCACCAACATGCCTCAACTAACAAAATTCCGAAGATCATATTTACGCACGAAGATTTATCGTTCAACCGTCACAGATACGAAGAATACAAGAACAATTTTACGAGAGGGATATTGTCGCATGTCGAAATATATGATTTTTTACGACACATTAAAGAAAATATACTTGAAAATTTATTCGTGGAATATAAACTTAGTTTACAGAAATAAATTTTGTATCCCAAAAATAAATTTTCAAATATTTTTTCTCAGCGCGGTCTAAATAAATGCCCGAGTTACTTTTATTGATAATGATGTTGAAATATATGAATGGAAATTTTACGATAAACTTTGTGCTTTCCATATGGTAAAAAGAATGAGTTGTAACAACTCGAGTCGTATTAAATAAACTCAATCTCAAGATTATATATGGGTAACTAATTTTATATTGTATGTATATGATTTAACGATTTGAACGAACATGATGAAAATACAGACTTGATATTGAATAATCTTTTCAGGTCAGTCACTTAAAAATTTTTTAATGGAAATCCCTATTTTTATCTCATATTCTTGTGGTTAATTTCGAGATTTTTTCAAAACACTATAATAAAATATTTTTTTATTAAATACTTTCTGAATTATGAAACGCGAAAGTTAAGAAATAAAGATAAAATTATGGAAAATAATTATATATAATTACAATTTTAGTTTCAAGTTAGATAAATTTTTATCATGTAACTTTGAAAAAAGAAATAGCCACAAAGATTACATAGTTTCGAATTTTTGTTTTTTAAAAATTATGAAAACGTCAGTGTCTTATTTTACAACGCTTCATAGTTTTTCCGGTAAAGTGGCACATCGTCAATATTTTTAGCACAACAAATTATACAAAAAATTCTGCATTTTATTTACCGTATTACTAGATTTCGGAATAATAATTAGACCGACGATAAATTAATTTGGGATAATTAGACGATAAATTAATCTACTTAAACATAATATTCAATAAAACATATGGAACAATACTCACCAAATGCGAATATCGTTATCATTAAACGATTACTTAAACGATGTCTTAACATTTAGAATCGTATCTAATAATAGCTGACAAAAGAATATTGATTACACATTTAAGAAATTGTATAAACGAGAAAAAATGAATATATATTAATAAAGAAGAGCTTGAATTTTTTTTGAATATATCTTTATTGGTCAACGCAATTCATTCGTCGTGTAAAGTTGGTAAACAGCCTTACTGATGGAATGTCCAAGTTGTCGCTTTTTGTCACCTACTTGAACATTTGCTAATAATTGTTCCCCATTTTTGTCACAATTTTGCAAAGATGCAATTAAAAGTTTTGGTGCACTGTAATGTTCCACAATTGCCATGGCTTTTTCTACAGACATACCTTTTAACTGTAATAATTGACGGACAAACATCTCACTTATTTTAAACGTCTGAAAAGAAATTGTGTCAGTAAATCATGCTAGATTCTATGAAAAAGCAAGAATAAAAAATATCTTTAAGACACACTCTTTTTTTAGAGGATGATTTATTAAATTCCTTTAATTCCATAAGGTATACTGTGTTATCTATATTATTTATCTGGGTAAGCTGTTCTCTTTTACATCCAACGAGTCTTTTATTCTGAAAAAAGTTTCGATTTTGAGAGGACATATTAATGTGCAGTCGTATACATTGATATATAATGTTTCCTACCATACAGATTTTAATCATACATACCATATAGATTTTAATCAAAGTTTTGGTTACACATGATAAATATGACATAGAATCTTTATGATTCTTTGTGTATTTCACTGTAAAATTGTCTTGCACTATACAATTCACAGAAGCTTGCAACAATGATGAAAATGGTATAGAAAATCTGGTGTTCTTATCTATATTTTCTACTATGTACATGAGGTTTTCAATACCAGATTGTTTCATTCGAAACTAAAACATAGAATATGTAAGACAACAAATATGTAAGAGCATGATTATAACATACATAATTGAGAAGAGATAGAATCGTATTCATAAAATACCTTTTGTTCATGGAACCTGCCATCTGTAATACTTGCGCTTAAGTCATCCATTCGCTTTCTTTCAACTATATAGGGAATAACCAATTCATCATTAGTCTTTCTACACTTTGCAATCCATGCAAAGTCACCAACTTTTAAGCGACGTACTTCAAACAACACACCGAGTTGTGTCAACTCAACAAGTGTAGCATCATGCTGAGACTTGGTTTTTCCACTGAAACATTTTCACATCGCAGTTAATAAGAAAAGCTCAAGAAGACATATTTTTTACTTTATGAACATAAAGTGATTTAATCATACAATTAATTGTTCAATAATCATAAAAGATAGAGAAAATTCATGAGTGATGTATCATGATTTCTCTTTGCAAGAGTTCCTTATAGTTGAAATACAAATCACCTGTTCTGTACTCACCCACAAGTTTCTTGAGTATCCACCAGTAATATAATATCAAAAGTATTAGGTTCAAAATGAATCTGTTTGTCAGCATGCCTCAATGCTACTTCATTTGCATTTACTAATTTCTTCGAGGCATTTTTTCTCGTGTTCTTATTTTGTTTAGCCATTGCTGTTTTTTCTTGTACTTCACCTATCGTCCGATCTTCCTCTGATGGCGTTTTTTTCGATGCAATCGCGTACTCTTCGTTACCTTCCACAGCAACACGGGCATCATCACTCGCGTTACCTGACTCTTGCCTTCTATACTCCTCCAACTTCTTATCCAGCATCGAGCATAATTTCGAGCCGAAATGTTGCAAAATTATACAATCTCTGCCAGATTCCAACGGTAACGGATATCTCTTCAGCGAGTCCAATGCCTTCGCGAAGTGACTCTGCAGTTCGGAATTTCGGAGCATCGCTTCCTTTTTCCATTCTTCTAGCCAAATTTCAAACAGATGATTTGGCCTGTCTAGCACTACTTTGACTCTCTTCATACCCGATATGTCAATCCAGTGTTGTTCCGTTTTTACTGACAATGCTATCGAAATGTCATTGTCTTCACTACTGCCAACAAAGCTATAACGTCGTGTTTCATAACAATTTGCAGTACACTGCAAGAATTATTGCTGCGGTTAGTATGTAGAACGAGACAGAAGTATGTGACAATTGCAAACATGATAAGAAAGTAAAAATTTTAATATACTTGGTATTGAGGTTATGTAAAAGCAATGATGGTTCTAAAGAAGAAGAAAAGATCAGTTTATTTAGCTAAACTACTGTAGACTGGATTTGTTATTTGTAATTAAAATTTGGCTAATTTTTTTGTCATCAATCTGCTGTTCCTCGTTTCAAATTTTCCTGCTTTGCAAAATATCCTCTCACATTGGACTGAAGTTGCGGAAGTGCAGAGAGAGAGAGAGCAGAGAACGAACTGTCCAGTTTGTACTCTGGAAGCGAATCACTGAAAATCCAGGTAAAGTGAACTATTCAGCTGATAAACCCCGGTTCTTTCTCTATGGATCCATTCAATTGAATGTGATTGAATGGTTCGCAAATCATTTACTTATTTCTCAGTCAGACCAGTCGAAATAGCAATCACGAGGACGAGATACTGTGGTCGCCAGTCTTAACAAGATCCAATCTGGAATTTCATTAAGAATAATTCATTACTAAACTTGTGTATATCTCTTATCATATTTTTTATTGATTTTCTAAAATTTTTCATAAATTTGAATCGTCTAGACGTTCAATGTTTGTAAACAACTATGACATAACCTCATAAGTTCGAATAACCTAATTGTAATTGTAGGTTAGGTAGTCTGTGTTTAATCGTAAAATCGTCAATTAAAAAGCGATGATTGAACCGAATCAAGAGAACAGCCAAGGTGGATTGCGTGTGGATGGTAGACGAGCGTTGGAATTGCGGCAAATTCGCATACGTATGGGAGTATTCGGACAAGCCGATGGCAGCGCGTACATAGAACATGGCAACACGAAAGTTTTGGCCGCGGTATACGGCCCTCATCAGGTATAAATTGCTCTTAAATATCACTCACGAACATTTGAAGAATATGCTAATTACTTGACATAAGATCTTCAATTGTGAAACGTTACAAGCCACTAACTCTGTCTTTAGAATTGCAAATCGCAACAATGTGAAAAAATCTTGTATGATATACCAATTTTTCTAACTTACGTTTTTTATAGTAATATTTATATTTCTTATATTTCTCTCTCTGTTCCCATTCTGAGAACATAAAAATACTCCATGTTAAATGTCTTGCATTTATCTAAGATGCTGGATATCGACATCTATACAACTCTAATATTTGATTCAGCCAAGAAGCAACACAGCAAAAAACACTGCAAAAGCTCTCGTAAATTGCCAATACAGCATGGCTGTGTTCAGTTTCACCTCTGGTGAACGGAAACGAAGACCAAGAGGGGACTGGAAATCACAAGAGAGATCGGTGCAGTTACGCCATGCAATGGAGGCCATAATACACCTAGAATTGTATCCACGTTCTCAGATTGACATCTTCGTGGAAGTGTTACAAGTCGACGGTAGTGATTACTGCGCGTCCGTAAATGCGGCAACACTCGCCTTAATCGATGCTGGAATTCCAATTAAGGTTGTCATCAGAAGCACTCTTGCATAATTAAAATTGAAATGATGACTGAATAACTCAATAAATTTCTGGTTACAGAATTACGCCATAGGATGTACTGTGACTCTTATCAATCTTCCATCAACAGACGAAGAAGACAAGACATTAGCAGGAGGAGTGTTAGATGCAAACTTTGTAGAGGAATGTTCACCAGGAGTTACCTTGTCTGTTGTCGCGTTACCGCCAGCGAATAACGACGATGAATTGAATGAGAGTGGTTTGATCGTGGTAGCACATGGGGCGGGGCAAAGGTTACACTTATCACTTCTAGAAGCACTTAAGCAACGAGCATTACGAGGTTGCAGGGACATAAGAACTATACTAGATCAATCTGTGAGACAACATTTAACTGCACATCTACTTCCTTCTTTTCTGCAAAATTCACTCGAGTAAAAGGAAAGTACGACGTATGGGAGATATTACATTGGTCAGTCCTGTGTATAAGCATATACAATTTTAATATGTTCAGTGAAAATATACAATAGAAAATAATTTCTCTTACAGAACTCACAGTTGTTTGAAACGTATACTTGCGTTTATTTACATATAATTCTTCCCTCTTTCTCTAGTAAAAAAGACACTGCTTCTGGATATCGATCATCTTTCTCGCATAAGATCATGAAAAGTTTCATCGACTTCGTCAATAAAACTTTTTACAAGTTCATGTAGAGAAAAATTCATGATCAATATCTATCGATACTGTTTACCGCGAAAATTGTATTTTTAGATATATTATTTTCTGCGTTCCTCCGAAAAGTGTCAAATTTTTGCACCAGGATATCTTTCCATAATCATACCAACTCCCTGTTAAATAAAAAAGATATTAATCTTATAAAATCGAAGAAAATTAAGTTTATGTGAAAGCTGTTTGACACTACAAAAAAAACTTTGCAATTTTCACTCTAGCTAGTATACTTCTAATTATTATCTATCTGTTATCTTACCTGCCCACCAGCAGCGCAGGCCGCAATAAGACCGAATTGCTGATCCTCCTTTATGAGTCGATTAGCAGTGTGTGTCGCTAATCGTACACCAGTGGCGGCAAATGGATGACCAAGCGACAAAGAACCACCCCATGTATTCCACTTATTCATATCCGGCATACCGACCTTCTCACTCTTCTTGAGGAACTTTTGCGCAAACAAATCTGAATCTAATGCCTTCAGATTAGCGCAAATTTGGCCGGCGAACGCTTCGTGTATCTCCCACACTCCTATATCCTTCACGGCCAATTTCGCTTTGTTCAGTATCTGCAATGTAATTTATCGTTACACAAATCTCAGTACCCGTGCTAGCGAGTCGAGTAACAAAGTTTCATATATTAATTTCGTATAGGGTATTAACTAAAAGCTGAATACCTTCGGTATCGCGTACGATGGGCCAAGAAGTAACTGATCGACTGGATCTTGGGACACGTAAGTGAAGTTTCGCAAATATGCCTTGGGTGTCAATCCGAGCTCGAGAGCCTTCTCTTCGCTCATTATCAACGCCGCGGAGGCGCCGTCGGTCAAGAAAGACGCATTAGCCGCGGTAACTGTTCCGTACGGTTTCACGAACGCGGGTTTTAACTTCGCCAATTGCTCCTGCGTAGATACGCGAATACCGTTATCTTTGTCCACAACTTGATCGACACCTGGCACTGTAAGACCAGAGAGGGAACAAACGTATCAGTTAGGCTGCATTCTTTTCAGACGCTTTTCAAACGTTATGCATAATGCATAACATTATCTTGGACAATTTTCCCGGTTTAAATGTCAAGAAATCAATTTTAGTCAGTATACATATACAAATAAGTTAGAGCCTAATAAATTCGAAACTGAACAGAACTAGTTAGAACATTGCTTTAGGATTGCGTACACAATCGAAGATAAGTAATCGAGTAAATTAACAAAAATGAAATTTTAAGCGTTAGATAGTTTAGAAAGATGTTGAAAAAGTATTTAGAAAAGTTAAAAAAACCTTGGAAAGGCATCACATCCGTCAGATTTCCCTGTTGCTGAGCTCGTGCAGCCAAAGTATGAGAGCGTAATGCGTAGTCGTCTTGTTCCTTACGCGACACACCGAAAGCTGCTGCCAATCGATCTCCACTGTGTCCCATAGTTTCACCAGTTGAAAACTCGGCTACAGCTGGCAGCTATATAGACATGAATTGGTAAAAAAGATACAATATAATCTTAAGGCAGCTCAAATATTACTGAAAGATGTCTTAAAAACATTTAAAAGAAATAGAACACCTTTAAAATTTTTTTTAGTGAATTGTGCTACTTGAGTAATTTATTTACTATTAAAGGACGTTTGATGTTACTTTCTTTAGAAAGAAAAAGAAAATAGCTTACATCTGGTATAAAATGAGCTGGCCTGATACTGGCTAGGAGATTTAACTTGTTCATCACAGTTTTTGCCTTATTGGCTTGCAGCATCAAAGATCTCATGCGTCGGCTATGTCTGATTGGAATATCTGACATAAATTCGACTCCCCCTGCCACAACAGCATCGTAAACACCACAAGCGATCAAACCCATGCCAGTAGTAATAGCTTGATTGCTGCTAATGCATGCCATTGTCACTGTATGTGCAGGAGTATGTTCACTATATCCCGCGGCTAAAGCAGCTTCCCTTCCAATATTAGACGTTCGCACCTCTTGCATTACTGTACCATACACAATATAATCGACTATTTCTTTGGGAAAACCAATTTTCTTCTGCAGGCTCCTAAAATAGCAAATAACAATTTCCATGATCTTCTTGTATAAACAAGAGTATTTGCAACAAAAATAAAAACAGAATAGATAAATAAAATGCTTTTAAAAAATAAAAATAATAAAAACAGAATAGATAAATAAAATGTTTAAAAAAAATCTGTTGATTCTCATGGCTGTTATTTTATGGCTTTATTCATAATTTGTAAAATCATATAATTTACTGCAACTTACACCAATGAATGCCTTGCAAGATCATATGCCAAAAGATTCTTGTACTGAGTTCCAGATTGCAAAAATGGAGTCCGTACTCCATCAACAAATACAATATTTTTAGAGACATCGCTACTTTTTGTAGAATAGGCCTTGCTTGCAGAGACTCCGGAACAACGAATGAGAACTTCTATTAAATGAAAGTAAAATAAGTGATAATCAAAGATATAAGTGATAGTAAAAAAATGCTGAGTCATGTCTAATATATTTCAAATATATGTATATATATATATATATATATATATATATATATATATATATATATTCATTTTATCTATCAAATTTGTATCATAAATATTAAATAGTATATATGAATAATATATTGTATAGACATATAAGATAGGTACATTATTATGGTTATTTTTTAATTATATACAGCAATAAAAAAGATGTTAGAATATGAATATATTAAAAATTAACAGAAATTTTGTATAAATAATTTAATAATTATATTCATCCACTTATGAATGATTTGATAATTTGTCATTTACATATATAAAATATATAGTTTATGTATGACAAACAAAATTAGAAGATTCGTAATACCTTGGAGGACTTTGTACCACAATTAATCTAGTTTATTCGGTTTACTATACACACAACAATTAAATTGCAGTATAAAAAAGATCACTTTTTCCTACCATAATTAACAACCCCATATCTCGCCACCAGGCAATTCTTCAGTAAAGGCAACATCTTGAACAATACAATATTAAACGCTATTCCGTTTTGAACGAAATAGTGGATTATGTTTTCGTGAGGTCCCGAATACCGAAATATCAACTTTTAAGTTCCTGTGATCTACGGAGTACGCGACGTTGGACTTTGATTCCTGACATATATATATATATCTTTAAAGTTATGCTCGTTTTCGAAGAACTTCTGAACTGGTGCACACTCTGGCTGCGTTCGCTTTGGGGCTTATGCGCTGTAAGCGTCATTCTGTCTTCTTCCCGCATGTAATAAGCGATAAAGATAGAATGACACTTACAGCACGTAAGCGCCTAAAGCGAACGCACTCTCTAGTACACCAAAAGTTAACTCTCTCTCTCTCTAAGAGCAATGGCGTAGAATCACTTAAAGCAAAGTGCTTTCAGCCAAATATTGAAACTGAAACTGAAACTCTCTCTCTCTATTCGCTATGAATAAGAACGTATGAAAAGCAGCCACATACGATGGAAGTAAATTTCGGAGCAATGGCGTGGGGTCACTAAAGGCTACGTGTACCCAGCCAAAATTGAACATTGAACATTGAACTCTCTCTCTCTCTCTCTCTCACTTTGGTTACAGGCCTTTATCAGGTGGCCCTTTCACCCATTACAAGATAAGTATGTTTGTCGAGATATATATATGATCTGTTCTTTTCGCTTTGGTTACAGGCCTTTATCAGGTGGCCCTTTCACCCATTACAAGATAAGTATGTTTGTCGAGATATATATATGATCTGTTCTTTTCGCTTTGGTTACAGGCCTTTATCAGGTGGCCCTTTCACCCATTACAAGATAAGTATGTTTGTCGAGATATATATATGATCTGTTCTTTTCGCTTTGGTTACAGGCCTTTATCAGGTGGCCCTTTCACCCATTACAAGATAAGTATGTTTGTCGAGATATATATATGATCTGTTCTTTTCGCTTTGGTTACAGGCCTTTATCAGGTGGCCCTTTCACCCATTACAAGATAAGTATGTTTGTCGAGATATATATATGATCTGTTCTTTTCGCTTTGGTTACAGGCCTTTATCAGGTGGCCCTTTCACCCATTACAAGATAAGTATGTTTGTCGAGATATATATATGATCTGTTCTTTTCGCTTTGGTTACAGGCCTTTATCAGGTGGCCCTTTCACCCATTACAAGATAAGTATGTTTGTCGAGATATATATATGATCTGTTCTTTTCGCTTTGGTTACAGGCCTTTATCAGGTGGCCCTTTCACCCATTACAAGATAAGTATATTTGTCGAGATATATATGAGGTCTGTTCTTTTCAATTTCAATTTCAACTTCAATATTTGGCTCCAGGCTTCTCTAAGAATTTTGCCCCAACGCCATTACGGTCTGTTCTTTTCAATTTCAATTTCAACTTCAATATTTGGCTCCAGGCTTCTCTAAGAATTTTGCCCCAACGCCATTACGGTCTGTTCTTTTCAATTTCAATTTCAACTTCAATATTTGGCTCCAGGCTTCTCTAAGAATTTTGCCCCAACGCCATTACGGTCTGTTCTTTTCAATTTCAATTTCAACTTCAATATTTGGCTCCAGGCTTCTCTAAGAATTTTGCCCCAACGCCATTACGGTCTGTTCTTTTCAGCTAACAACTGAACTGGTGCAATAAGTTAAAATGAGACAAGTATATTTTTTCTCACTCTAACTTATTGCACCAGTTCAGCAGTGCAGCTGAAAAGAACAAACTATTGTTCCAAAACAATTACGGATCCGAATGTGTTCAGTTAAAATAAGGCGGAGATTCTGTACCATAAGTAAAATTCCCCAAGCAGTGTTGTTATGGAGGATTCACATTGCGCCGACACATCCGAGGGTACGTTCAGATTCCCTACCCGGGTGCACTCTATTACTAGAAACACTATAGTATATGTTACATATACTATAGCACTTCTAGTATTAGAGTGCACCCGGGTAGGGAATCTGAACGTACCCCGACATATACATATACGAAATCCAATAGTAGAGTTCCTTTGCTGGAATTTCTAGCTACATTTTTGTCTCTAGAAAACCAATTCTCCTATTTGATATTGAATGTCGTGCATCGTAGGTCAGCGCAATGTGAATCCTCCATTAGTACGGAACAATACTATTTTTAGCTGACTTGAAATGACAACAATACACAGTACGGACGCGATACGGATACATTTAAAACTGAACAGGTGATCATCTTATAAATATTAATAAATACAAATATAAGTAATATGTATATATAGAGTATAATAAATGCAAATACATATGAAAAAATATGTAGTTAGCATGTCATTTTATCACTAAATAACAAAAACATCTAACCTAATCTTCCAAAATATGTAAATATTAACCATCACAGTTTAAGACTTTCCCTCTTAAAAGAATATTATTTAATATACAAATGTTTACAGCACTATACAAGAGTGAACTATACTACACAGAAGTATATTCAAGTTGCATCTATTGCTAACCATGGCTTCAAATAGGAGTACAAAAGAAGTTCTATTATCACTTATAGATGATATGGAATTGATAGCAAAGTAAGTCATGTTGTAAATAAATTAAACTCTTCTTGTCTGAGATTTGTTATATTCAAATTATTAGATTGTACAATACTCTTAAATCAATATCATTAATTAAAATTAATATTAGTCTCTTCAATTAAAGTCAAGACCGTAAACTTTATATATTATTCTATTCTTTCAGAGAGATGATAGAAAACACAATTGCTCAAAAACCAGCAAAGCTTTCAAGTACAGAACATGCCCAACTCACTGAATTGTTGGTTGCAAAAGATAATGAATTAAAAGCAACATTAAAACGAGCTGCTGAACAGGCCAAAATTAACTTGAAAATGGAGGCCCTGAAAGCTGAAGTAGAAAGACAAGATCAGGACATCCAGCAACTGCAACGACAGCTAAAAGAAGCAGAGCAAATCTTGGCTACAGCAATTTACCAAGCAAAACAAAAATTGCAATCTATTGCACGTGCCAACAAGAGACCTGTTGCTTCAGAAGAACTTATTAAATATGCACATAGGATAAGTGCAACAAATGCTATTTGTGCACCATTATCATGGCAACAGGGAGATCCCAGGAGGCCGTATCCCACAGGTATTTTACATCATATTTATATAATCATATCTATGCTATTTTAATAAAAATTTTATATATTAAAATATGATAAAAGTTTCCTGTGTGTTTTTAAATACAATTTAAATCTTTAAATATTTTATAGATATCGAAATGAGATTAGGATATCTAGGACGACTAAGTGATATACCTCTAAATGGACAAATGCTTGGGTCTCATCCAAGCATACCATCAGACTTACATAGAGCAGGACACCCTGCTGGAGGTAAAATATTTTTCTGTGCTCGTCGATAAATAAAGCGCGAAGGGAGATTGAGATCAATGAATCAGCTACTAGAATCTCTTTCAACAATTGGCTAGAGTTTAAAATGTTCTGTTGCTTTTTTCAGAACCACCTGTTTCACAATCCAACCAATTTGCATGGCATCCGTCGGGAGAGATTCATATGTCTGTTGGTGGCCAAGGTAGTGTGGCTGTGAATACACACAAACAAGAAACTGAAGATGTTGAAGTTATGTCTACAGATTCTTCGAGCAGTTCATCCAGTGATTCTCAATAGATATAAATTTATATATTTATAACTCTCAGTAGATATAAGTTTATATATTTATAGTTCTCAATAGATATATAAATATCTTTGTATTAAACACTACATAATATTTAACTTAAACAATAAAATGTGAAGATTTTACATATTACAGTCTTGATTCTGCATTTATTGCTAAGTAGACGTGCATTCCAAGAGGATTTTTGGTACAAGGTTATGCAAAACAGTAGTAGTGTAATACATCTCTGGATTAGCCTACAACATAAGAAAAAAAAAATAAAATGCGAAATAACTGATATAAATTAGTGATAATTTTGTATAGAGTATACCAATTTATCTAAATATATATTTTAACATTATTTACTAACCAATAAAATTTTGTTGTCAAACTGTAATTTCTGGAATAAAACGTTTTCGTTAGTGAACGTTAATCCAAATAGCTTGCAATCTGCCTGAATTCTACTTATATCTTTGTAAAATAATAGTTCCTGTAATTTCAGCCCTGGGAATGTCAACACCTTATTATTATAACCAGAAGCCATGATTTGTAAAACATCCCTGAAACATATTTTTTTTCAGTAATCAAATAATTACAAATTAAGATATAATTACTTAATTTCAAATATTTTATTCTATATTTTAGTAATTCTTATATATATGTATGTAATAATAAAGACTAAATATCAAACCTTCTAAAACTTTGTAAATTAGAAAAGAATGCACAAGCCATTAGTGGGGATAGTTGTTGAACCAAACGATGAACACGTACATAGTTTCTCAGATACCAAGCTAGTGATATCTGTACAGCCAATTTAACTGTCGGCGAATTTCTGCTTAAAAAAGACACAATAAATGTTAACAAGTCTTTTAGTTTCTTTTCTATTGGCAACTCACTTCAAATCCGGTGAAAGCATAAGAGCTCTTTTCAGAGCATCCTGATCTCCAACATGCAGAAGAATATACAAGGCTTCCATCTCTGATCGATTATTATTCAATGTCATTTTATCAAAATCCTCACATATATCTAAATCATCTCTCGTGTTTTTGTTATCTTGTTTATCGTACAGCACAAGCAAATGCTTTATACATTCTAACAAGTGCTTATTATTTATTTTTGCATCAAATTCTGAAATACTTCTCTCATACAGCCTAGAAAGTATGGCACATATGCGTAGTACTTAATAATTTCTTAAAGCTTTTCAAGTGGCCTCTTTGTCTTGCTTATACCTTTGCGCCGCATAAATATGAAAACGAATAATTGGTTCTAGGAGACGAATATTGGCAGCAGTATCAATTCTTTGGATTACAGCATCTTGTCGCACCGATCTCAATCGATCAAACACAAAATCATATATTAATACCCAATTTATATCAGTTTTCGTGATTATCCTAAAATATAATCATGTGTTACCTATGTTGTATAAATAATATTTCTATAGAATTGTATTTTCTAATAATATTATTATTATTATTACATACTATTGCTTTATATTGTTTATATTAGTTACTATATATATTATTGTTATTATATCATAGTAATATAATAAAAGGATTTTGTATAATAAATAATTATCTAGTGAATAATTATGCTTAGTAAGAGTGACAAGCTTAATTATACTTAATAGAAGTGCAGTGGAAGTTACTTTGTAAACAAATATCGGACAGTGGATAATAATACATGTGGTGGACGCAATAAATCTGGGTTTGTCATAATTTGACCAGCAGCAGAACGGCTAAAACACTTTACAGCTTTAGCAGGATCAACTTTGGGTCTTTTCATGTGTTTTGTTTTGTCATCAATTTCAAATACATGTAACAATCCTTCCACCTCCCTCCTAAGTGAAAATAATGTAAAATTTAATTAATCTCATATAATAGATTTTTGTCTTCTTATATATCATGATAATATAAAATATATGCAAGATAAAAGTAAAATATGTTCCTATTTATAAACTTAATTATCCTACTTATATAAAAAGAAAGTAAGTCGTTAAACATCGAAATTTGAATAAATAGAATTCTTATTCAACTCTCTCGGTTTCTGTACTTCTCATTGCACACGTTCCATATATATATATATAGCAGAGACTCACATCCGTTGCTCTTTTATAGGACACATCAAAGAACATCTTCCTATTATCGACTCGGACGTCGTCATTGCACTTTTCGTTCATACAAATATATGATAATATTATGAATCCTTTTTGTTATAGATTTATATTTAAGTATATTATATTATACATAACCACTGCATGCATGTTTATGCTTAATTATGTTCAAGTTATACTGAAAGTCGATGAGAGGACTCATCGGCTGCGTTCGGTAGGACACAACGGGTGCGTTCAGCGGAAAAAGCGCTCAGTGAACAATCAGCGATTATTGGTTCTTACTGTTAGATCCCTAAATTTAGACCAATGGCTGCGTTCAGCAGAGAAAGTTGCTTTGTAACTGTTGTAAAATTCGTGAATCTGATTGGTATATGCTCTTGGATTTAACCAAAATTAAGAGCATACTCCAATCAGATTCACGAATTTTACAACAGTTATAAAGCAGCTTTCTCTGCTGAACGCATCCATTGACGAATTGCTCAACTGTTATGCAACTGTTGAGTTCGCTGAACGCACCCAACGATTGTACAATTGTTTTATGAGGTTTGTTCTTTTCAGCTGCACTGTTGTCTAGTGCAATAAGTTAGAGTGAGAAAACATATCTCACTTCAATTTATTGCATCAGTCAACGTGCAGCTACAAGAGAACATGCCGGCTGTTTATATCCATCATTACCTCGAATCCTCCCACAGATGTCTATACTAAACTAGATTGCTAACTAGATTGCTGATATTATATGTGTCGTACGACAAGCTTTTCGGATACGTTCATTGGTTGACGAACAGAGAACCTAAAAATACTCTATTCGCCAACCAATAAGCGTATCCGAAAAGTTTGCTGTACCTATCGGAAGCGTGATTTTAGACGTGAAAACATAGATGACGCTAACGGCGCTTCAACAGCGTATTTACGTGTGCGTAATTGACGAGTGCTACTGGAAAAAACAGAGAAGAAAACGGGTATGTTTTGACGAGTGTTTAATCACGTTTTATGTCTGAAACTCACACGATGGATAATTGACTGGATCAGAGAATTACCTGGAGCATATCATCGCGTGGACAATGAATACCTCAACAACGACAAGACTACCTCGACGGATACGAGATCCCGCGCGACGGATACGAGATCGATTGTATGCGCGTCTACGCTTGAGACCGATTCCCGGCGAATTGTTGCCAGGTACTTGATATTCTGGGTCTGATATAGTATCATGTTTCTTAAGTGGTATTCAATTATCGAACTCTCCTATCAAATTAATGTTCGTTACTTTTAACTCTGGTATAGTCTTATCTTTGATAGGTTAAGGGAAAGAAATACGACGTGTGGGGGCCAATCATAATTGTTGATGCAAATATTAGCTTCAATTTACACCAGCAGTAATATTGCTAATAACGTGTGTTTCTACCAATATTACTAACAAATATAAATTATCCCATTTAAAACTGCTGTGTGAAAACTACTTCCAACAAAACAAGTTAATCATATTTTGCTATCAACTTTGTTATTTTGGGATGAAAAATGTTAATAGTATTTGTTTTTGTCACATTTTGTGGGACAAAAGTTCTTTATTTTGGTAACATGTTGATAGTTTTGTCATCAACATTATCAAAAATGTTATTTCTGCAATCCATTATTCGGACAAAATTAAGACAATAGACCATAATTTAGACAAAAAAGATATTGAAAAATATTGGCAGAAAATTGAACTAGATGTGTTAGCAACATTATAAACAACAAAGATGTCAACTAATTGTACTATAAAACTTTATATATAGCACATATTTATTAATAACACATTTGTTAATGACAAAGTCTAACAGAAGCATTTTATTCTCCTATAGTTTAATATTTATACTAACAACTGTGATTGACTTTCATTTGCTTTCTCTCATTTGGTTGTACATTTAAGAGTTCATTTACTTTGTTATTTTATATGTTAACTTAAAATACTTGTATTATAGCTATATCTCGTACCACGGATACCTCTGCAGTAGAGAATACGTTAAACAGACGTCCCAATGGTTGGAATTCACCACAGAGTCCTGATGAACTGGTCATTCAAAAGAGAGGTCGACGTAAAAGCATAGTGTGGTCTCCAGATCTTGACGCTAACAAACGAAACAATCTGCTTAGGTATAATATTTGTTGTACTAATTTGTGTACACTTCACTACAATTTTTAATGTAAACTACAATTTTGCAAAAGTAGAAAGAATCTCTGTTTTGAAATTTTGTACTCTGTTTTGTAATCTTGTATAAAGATTCAAGGCAATTCATGTTGGACAACAATAGTTGAATGCTAAATTTTTTTATATATTTGAAATTTTTGTGAATTTCTGGTTTCAAACAAATCATAACTTTCTGTATGTTCAAAATTATTACTGTTCTGAACATGTTACCATCAGTAAATCTAGTAAATTCACATCTAAGATTTAGGCACTCATTGACTGCGTTCAACAGAGAAAGCTGCTTTACAACTGTTGTAAAATTCATGAATCTGATTAATGTAGTATGTTCTTGGCTGAATCTAATAGCATATCAATCAGATTTATGAATTTTACAGTTGCAAAGTAGTTTTCTCTGTTGAACGCAGCCATTGCTTCTTCTTACATTTGATTGATTTTATATGTAAGGGAGAATTCCTTGACAAATATTTTGACAAAATAAGCAGAAAACAAAAGAAGACAATCAGAACTCATGTTAGTAGAAAAAACAGAACTGTTAAGCACCACCTGATCACCAGCGTGAATTCTGATTAACTTATGCTTTTCTGCTAAGTTGTAAATCTTCCTTAAGAACTTTCACTATTTATTAATTCTAATAAACCTTCTTTTATCTCAGCTTGAGCTCCAGAGAACGTACACCAGTTAAGAGCCCACAGGCTTCAAGAGATATCTTGAGAAGTCCACCTAGAAAAAGACTCTCCCTCATTGATATTCGCCATTCGGAATTTACTACACCGGAGAAGAAGAGAAAGTCGTGTTCTCTGATATTGGACGCAAATACATCGCAAAGGCAGCTCGTCGATGATTTAACACGTGGCTTACGAGGTCTCAGTCACGAACAGTTAGTTCAAATGATTATGAATGTAGTACATATGCAGGAAGATGGTTTACTGTGCAAGAATACAACACTTCGTAGCGTACTTTTGGAGAAAATACCGGTCGCTGATATTGAACAGTTGATACAAAAACTACGTATCCTTAGACAGAATGTTTATGCCAGCCTTGTGTGTTCCAATCTGGACGATTCCGCATATAGTCGTGCTTATGTACATCTGGACATGTTTGAGGTGAGGAAACATTTTTTTTTCTATTTTAGCCACAAGAAAGAAAATTCAATCATCCATACTTGTCGATTTGGAGTCTTCATCGAATTCACTTTGCTTATTAAAAATTAATGGCAATTTCTTGATATAATATCCTTCGTTCTTCTTTTAGAAAACCCTGATTAACCAAGGAAAAGTATTGCAAGAGTCTCATCATTGGATATCCTTGATGCGTTATGCACTGGTAGCATGGGAAGTTACGAAAGAATTGCCAGAATGGGAAAATCAGGGTCATCACAACACCACACGTAAATGCTTTAAGAGTTTATCGCAGTTTTGCTTTGAAGCTCTAAAAAGAGAAAATTTTGAAACATCGGATTTGGAGATTTACATTGAGAGGTACGTAGAATAATAACACTCAAGTTAAACGTGTACTTTGAGAACTACGAGTTTAAGTAATGAACATCTAAATATATAAGCAGCATATTGACAACACATACTCGATTATTTTCAGACTCGAGACCATTGCTGAACAATGCGAAGATTTTAAGATGTGTCTTCAAATGGCGGAAGAAGCGAAGCAAAATAGTTAGGTTCTTTTTTATCACATACATTTTTCTGCGTGCGAACATTAAGCGAGCTTTATTTAAATATTTATTTTGGCATATTTGTGTCAACTAAAATTAACATAATTTATATGTAAGGTGATTTATAAGATAAAGTCAACCAGTGAGAAACTTAATATTTTAAACAGAAAATGCAAAAAACTGCTGTAACATTAAGTCACTGCGATAATCGAGTATGTGGCATTACTTTTTCAGAAATGGTATATGGACATTCATTAACGTGAATATATATAATATGCGTCTCGCATTTACTTATTTTTCGTTTCTCGGTTAACGAACGCACTTGTGTACACGTAACACAAACGCGCGATATTAAATCTAATACCTATCAATCTGCCATTTGACGTTAGCTGGGTATGAAACTAATTATACAATTTATATATTTTCATGATATATTTTTTAAGTCTTTTATTTTAAGATATAGATAATATAACTTTGTATGTACACCCTTAAATGGAAAGATCGTTTTAACTTGCCAACGCGACTGTCAATTACAGCATTTATCTTAAAGATATAGGAGTAAATGACTTGCCATTAGAAACATTAACGCTTAAAAGAAAACAGTAGATATATTCGAAAAAATCTATTTTTCCATTTAAGGGTAATTTCGCGAAAAGTACTGTACTTGTTAGAATGTGAAACTTACTGACCTTAGCTAAAAGTATATTTTGGTCTGGACTTGTTTGGGCTACTTATGTGAAAAATAGTCTAAACGACGAAAGACAAAATTGAAAACGTATCTTTATGATAAGCGTTTAAATGGTGTTCTGTGTTATTAAACATCGAACATTACCGGCTATTTTCTTGATATACACTATTTTGAACTTGTTAAAATATTCAAAATACTCGGGAAATAGTGTTGTGTATTTTTATACCTCTTGCGGAAGTATCTTTTAATGTCCAGTGTAATCGCTTTTATAACGTATTTATTGTGAATTGCGTCGGGGAGAATGGACTAGCGTGTATGTATTTTTCCTTTTATTAAAAACGATTTATTTGTCATAATATATCGTGCGTCTTCTTATATTCTAATATATTCATTATTACTTTCGAAAGGCACATATTTCACTTAACCAGCGATCAGAAATCTTCCAAGTGACGCGTTCGCATGCATTACACGCCTGTACAGATTTGTCATAACAGCACAATAGCAAACGGTACTTTGAAAATTTCTGATGTTTCGGTATACTCGGTCGTGATGATGCTATCTTGTACATGCCTATCTAAAATGTTACGTAAGTTTTTAGGCATTACCGAATCGGTAGTAAGTTTTGGGATGATGAGTCAAATGTCTCCTGTTAATATCCTTTAGTATCATACCTCTTACGTTTTCCCACGTATCTGCACACCATTTGTAAATTCTATCATATTTTATCGTGCGTACTGGCAAGATTACGTCTCTAGGAACGACTTCGAAATCGGAGATCGGTCGAGAGACCTCCTCGATGATATTTCCGGCAAACATAATTAAAAAAGAAGAACGTAACAACATAATCTGACCTCATCTAAACTCGAAGATTTAGGTGAAGCAAATTAAAAGCGAAGTAAAACTCGTACTGTCGATGCTCGCGCGAATCGCAGGATGGCCGAGAATTGACGGAAGATAAGCACACAGCACTGTCTTTCATAAAACGAAATCCCGATTCAGTCATTCTTAAGCGAAAATACAGAAAAAGATTGTGTCTTACAACTCATTAAATTTCGATATTTTTTTCTTATCAACGATTAAGACTAATTAAAATTTTGTACAATTACAAAAATAAAGTACACTTTGCGTCACGAACGAATTTGATTATTCGCGGAAGCTTAATTGGCAGAATTAGCCGAAAAATTATTAATAAATAATTAATAAAAATTAAATCAGAATTCACGTAATTACAATTTTTTGAATTTGCAATTATATTTACAAATTTTTGACGGCAATTTCCAGAAGAATTAACACGTCCATCTTCCGTCAATTAATATATACAACCTGCGTAATAAACATATTTTGTAAAACTGATCAATCGCTATACGCGACTAATGAATAATTGAGCACACCGACATATAAAACGATCTGATGCTCTACGAGCGTGTAGTAAACGGTACGAGATGTGCCACTAATTCTTAGCTAAACTTTCAAGTAGAAAGTGAAGTTGAGAATGTGTGCGACTCTATAAATCGTGGCAAGTGTGATCAAATCGAACAGATTGTGAAGCGCATTCGTTCACAATTTACGGTAGATCGTAAATGTTCGCCGCTTGAGTTCCACAATGATACGATCCGTTTTTAAAAAAATATTAAAAAAGAAAAACAATTACATACGCTGTGCAATTAAGAGATTACTACATCGTTAAAAAATCGCGTGGATTCTCGCTCTTTCTTCTCTCTCGAGAATATCCGCATGTCGCAATGAGATGCTATTAAATAACACTACTAAAATGTGCCTACATCGTAGGATAACAATTAACAAGATAAAGCTGCAAATCGAATACTGTAGTAATCGTCGGATATCCTGCGAGCACGCAATCCCCTTAGTCCGCTTTCGCTGGCTGTACTCTGGGATATAACTGAAACGTAAACGATGCAATTTAGTTAGTTTGTTTCTCACGGCGCACGCCCGTCGACAGAAGTCGACTGTTACTTCGCGCTCTGTGAAATTCCGATCAATTGAACGATTGTCTTTACCCCCAACAGATTCCGAGGTACGTAGCCTTCCTTGTGACCGAGCTTGCTCCACCACCACTCCCTCTCGTTGTCGTCCCCCTTCCGCAGTACGACCACAGAATCGCCGTTCTTCAACGAAAGCTCATCGGCATGCTGCGCCTCGTAGTCGAAGACCGCGTAGACCTGACCGTTGTTCATGATGCCCAATTTCTCCTGAACGCCTAGAGAAAGTAAAGGTACTCTCCTCACGAAAGTGTCACTTCGTTGCAACCGTTGATATTTTGCGATTCGTGTAACCGATACCGACTGTACAAATACTCCGAACACCCGTCGAAGCCTTCCTCGTCCTCCTCGCACTTCTCCGCCGCGGTCTCGTGATCCGACAGAGTGGTCGCAAAGATGCAAGCGCCGTGCTCCACCAAGAATCTCACCATCGACAAATTGTTGCAGCTGGCGGCGCAATGCAACGGAGTCCTGTGTGAAAGACGTTGATATCAAAACTTATATAATACTTGGACCCTTACAATCCGCGCGGTTTTTCGAATGATTTTTATCAAATTGATTTTTCTTATTTGATCATACAAAAACTTTTTTCTATATTAAGAAACATGAAAGAACAAATTTATTTATTTTTGGTAAAACTATGCAAGAATATGCAGTATATCGGATTGGAACATAAAGATCGCTCGTTTGTAAGTTGTCAGACACCTTGTATATGATAATAAGAAAAAGTCAAAATATAAAACATGTCTATTAGTTATTTGCATAAATGATAAAATATATTATCAGTAAAATATATAAAAAATTTGTATAACAAATATATTTTTATATTTATATTCTTAATTTTTTATTTAGAAAATTTTTTAAACTTTTATTCTTTCTTTATCATTAATTTGTATGGAAAAGATAAATAATAATAATGATAGTAATAATAATAAAAATTAGAGTTGTATTTCACAAAATTGCTGCCGCGCCGCTATAGTGGGTTCCCGGATTGTAAGAGTTAATCATTGCCTACATTGTTAAGACACTTTTCTTGCCAATCAGATTGCGTGTAGATTCTTAAAGCGATTGATTTCGTTAAAATGACTGATTTTTACCATCCGTCGCTGTCCTGAGCGTTCACGTCGCAGCCGAACTCCACGAGAAATTTGACGATCTCGAGATGGCCGGCGCATATGGCGTTGTGCAGAGCGGTAATGCCCTCGTCATTGGCGGAGCTTGGATTGGCGACTTCCTTGGCAGTCTTCTTCACGAGCTCGAGTTCGCCCTCGAGGCTGGCGTCGAGTAGCAGCGCCAGCGGATCGAACGACACCCGCCTGGACAGATTGACCTTGCCTGTGCTCGACTTGAGATTACCTTTCTTCCTCCTCATCACCTCCGATATCTTGCCACCGTCCACATCCACCTCGGTGCTCAATAGCTCTGTATCAGTCTTCATCTTCGCCGATTTCTCGTCGATATTGATAACATTAAGCGCGTCGACGATATCTGATTCTTCCAACTTCTCGCTGTCGCCGATGTCTTCGCCGATGGCGGTTATGGTCTTGCAATTGTCCGTAGTGTCAATGATTTGCTGTTGATGTTGCTGCTGCTGTTGCTGCTCGGTCTGCATGAGATCCGCCGGGATTTCCGTCTCCGGGAAGAGAAAGGCCGGGGGCATCTCAATCCGTCGATTTATCGACACGTGAACATTGGATTTGGCGTATCTCAACTTCGGTTGTTCCGATATTGGTACCTTCTTCAGACTCAGCGGTCGCGCCTTGATGATCTGATGATTGACCAGCTGCGTCTCCGTGGGAGAATCGGGTGGCTCTGACGTAGGAATCGGCGGTATGTCCTCGTCTTTATCCGACCTGTAGGATATGCGCACGAGAATGAGTGAATCTGAGAGCAAATTTGTACAGAATACAAAATCTGAAAGCAGAAGAAGCGGAATAGTCGACGTAAAAAGATCACCTCGATAAAATCTCACGATTCTCTCTTCACCGTGTCGCGAGATAAACTGAACGATTTGATCTGCAGTGGCGAGATTTCATCCGAGATTCCGCAAATCTTGCTTTCACCAGCCGAATGTCGATAGGCAACGTACAATTTTGGCCATTACTGTGCTTCAAAAATCGACAGGTGTTGATCGTGCGCGAGATTGTCGAACTGGCGAGCTAAGCACACTGGTGAACGCGTGTACCGATCGGAGAGCTGGCGAACACTAAGAGAGCGGGTCCATGTCGTCTCTGCGGCACACAGCCGCGGTTCTATTTCGGTGTCTATTATTCGAGACAGGCTTCGATTCACCGGCCAAATCGATCGCGAACTAATTAACATTTATAATTAACCCGGTAATCGTTTTGTCATTCCACAGTCCAAGTCCGAGCGCGAATCGCTTGATGAACACTTGGACGAGCTGGTAGCTCCGCGGGGAGGAGAGTGCAGAGCAGTGCAAAGGGCAGTAACGGATTCGCGAATTTGTTGGGATCATAGCAACATCTTAGACACACTTTGACTCGTTAAACAAATTACTCAAGAATATACTTTCTTTTTCTAATTTCACTGTGAAATTACTGCAAAACAAATTCTCTGATCCAGAGAGATAAATAGAATTAACTTTGTAACACTATTTCTACTTCCCTGTTCTCTTTTTCTTTAAAGAAATATGAAGAGTTGAGAGAATGTTTAAAGTTTACAAATAAAGCTTATAAATAATAAGGTTTATAAATAATAAAGCTCCCCTTAATTCTCCCGGTTCTCACACTCGCCATCGTTCAACATACAAGGCGTATACGAACCTCGAGTTGAGATTCGCATTGGTCATCTTGCAATCGTTGATTCCGTCCGGCGGCGCGTCGATTTTCTCGTGATGAGTCAGTCTCGGTGGTGGATTAGGTTTACTCGGTTTCGGCGGTAGCGCCGGCTTCGTCTTGTCCTCCATTCGCGACTCGTTGAAGCTCTTCCTCTCACCGTCGCTCTTCGCTCTGTCGAACTCGAAAGGCTTATCCGGCGTTTTCACGGGGATTTCGTACTTGACGGCGTGATCGACCACGTGTTTCGCCGTGGAGTTCTGCTCGTACTTGGAGCCTGGCGCGTCGAATTTGTTCTGGCTGCTTTCGTATTTGTTCTGCTCCGGCTTGTATTCCACCTTGTACTGGCCATTGCTGTCGTATTTGCTGGTAGGCTGCTCGTGTTTGAACGTCGCGCTGTGCTCGTACTTGTTCGACGATCTGCTCTCATGCTGCTGCTGCTGCTCGTGCTTATTGTATTGCTGCGTATCCCGACCGGGCTCGTACTTGACGTTGAGATGCTGCTGCTCGTGCTGCTTCGCCTGACTCACACCCTGATCGTGCTTGCCCTGCTGTTGCTCGTACAACTTCGACGACTGCACCGTCGGTTGCTCGTACTTGCCGTGCTGCTCGTACTTGATCTGCTGAGATTCGTATTTAGCGAGACTCGAATCGTACCTGTTGCCTTGCTGCTGCTGTTGCTCATGCTTGGGCGGTAACACCGTATGCTCGAACTTGTCTTGTGTCTTGCCCGACTCGAATTTGACCTTCTGACTGTTCAGGATTTGAGTTTGCGTATCCTGGTTTTGCGGATCTAAGTTGGAACCGGACGACAGCTGCGACTGGTTGTACCTCTGCGCGCTCGAGGCATTGTTGAAGGCGGCTGTGGCGGTGCCGTGAAGGCCAATCGAAGCGAGATTCGACGACTCTCTCTGGACCTGATAGATGACTGACGAAGGCGTGTGGATGTTCGTCTGGTTAGGATATTGTTGCTGCTGCTGCTGCTGTTGCTGTTGCTGCGAGCCGGGCATGTAACCGTGTCTGGGTGCGTTGTAGTTTATGTCCTGATTGCCGACACAGCTAGATTGTACCAGTTGCGCACTGGTGGCTGTGGTCTGCTGCTGTTGCTGCTGCTGCTGTTGATTGTTGCTCGACTGCACGTTGAGAGTCGTGATGTTGTAGCTCGGCGCGTTGTTTGCGTGTCCGCGACCCAGCAGACTCAACGTCTGCGGCATCACCGGATGGATTTTGGTCGAGGACGTCTGATAGATCTGCGACTTGACAGAGAAACTAGGCGCCACGCTCGACACCGGTTTCTGATGGATGGCCTGCAAGTTGCGGTGGTTCTGCGCCTGTGAGATCGACGAGACAGTGACACCGAGATTCGTCGAAGCGCCGTTCGACGCCGTGCCAGTCAAGTTCTGTTGCTTTTGTTGGCCCCCGTTGCCATTCTGGTGCTGCTGTTGCTGTTGCTGCTGATGACCTTGGTGAATACGAAGACTCTGCGACAGGTTGTCCGGGCTGAAGCTGTGCGCGTTACCGCTACCGACGAGATTGTTGTTGTTATTATTGTTGTTGTTATTGTTGTAGTTGCAACTCGACTGAACCGTTGTAACTTGATTGCCGAGATTTTGATTGTGCTGTTGTTGTTGCTGCTGCTGATTACTTCCTAATAATTGGGATTGACCTAAACATTCAGTTAGATATTAGATTCACGGAAATTACGTTTTCATGTTCACAAACTATAGGATACTTTTATACAATAAAAGAAGTCATTATCATATGTAAGATGTCACGGGAATTAAATCCAAGTTATCATTATTTAGAAATTATTAATACCCTCGTTTCCACCGAGCATAAGCGAAATGAGCTCTTACCCTGAATGTGCGACTGCGACTGGCTGTGAACGATTTGGTGTCCGTATTGCTGAAAGGCCGGCCGCTGTCCCAACTGGGAAGCGCTGGCCGAGTGCTGTATCTTATTTTTGTTCACGTCGTCCTCTATCGCCTTGAAGTTCACCGTGAACTTGGTGTTGTACGGCAGTGTCTGGTACTTTGGATCGTTTTTGTTCAGGTTGAAATCATTGTCGTTGGGTATGTGAGAGTACGGCTCGATCGCGGCGATGTTTCCCGCCGGCCTCAGCTTGCCGCCGTTGTTGAAGCCGTCGAGCTTCGTGTCCGGGAATCCTGTCGTGTTGGCGCCGACACGTCCGGATCCCGGGCCCAGTTGATGACTCAGCCGTTGATTCAACGCTCTCTTACGCTGAAGACGACTTTGGAGCTGCGCTATCCGCGCGTCTATCGACGCCATCTCGGCCTGCCTCTGCGCCAGGGCCAGACGTTGCTGCGACACCACTTGGTTCTGCTGTTCGTTCATTTTGTTGCGATACTGCGAACAAGTCGGGAAAGGCGTGATACGACGCAGTCGTCTCTGAACTTTTAACACCCGTCATCGCGCGGCAGGAGCCCGTTAATCGGTCTCGCAAGAGGCAAGAACGTTCTGCGCTCGGTCAATCCCAATAGGCTGCAAGCCCAGTAATTGTATCCACGATCAATTAATGACACGCTTGGAAACGGACCGCCAAACGTAGCGACGTATTCCCATGCGAGCCCTTTGTCCACGGGGTCGATCTCTCCCGCGGGAGCGTAATCGATGGCGCGAGCTTACCATCAGCTCCCTCCTGAGCTTCTCCAACTCCGCGCTGGCCGGGGTGACCAGATGCCCATTTCCGGTAGCACCCGCGAGACCACCCCCGAGGCTGCCGGCGCTTCCACTGCCGGCGCCGACACCGACGGCATTCTGACGACCCCGAAGCTCTTCTAACTGCCGTGTCAGCTCCTCCACCTTCGCCACGGCCAACGAGAGCTCCTTCTCTTTCTCGTTGAACAGCGCCCTGATGCAGTCCAGGTCCGAGGCTGCGGACGAGGAAAACTCGTAAAATAAGAATCGCACAGCCAAAGCTGACAAAAGGAAAATAGTGGAAATAAATGAGAAGAGAGAGAGAGAGAGAGAGAGAGAGAGAGAGAGAGAGAGAGAGAGAGAGAGAGAGAGAGAGAGAGAGAAGAACAGCGCGCCATCCGCAAGCGGCGCGATATTTCGTTACGGAAGTTATATATCGAAATTCGCGCGGCATTATTGCGGAAGCTCTCGCGAGATTACATCGGGTATTAATCTAGAAGTGCTCAAGTAAATTAGATACTCTCTTTTACACACACATACACCAGCCTTCGGTTTTCATTATATAATAGTTCGAGATGTAGGATGTGCCGCTGGTATTAACGTCACAAGGTGAACGCGTGCCAGACCTCGTAAGGGATAACGCTATATTAACACGGGCGCATTAATCATCGCTCTGCGATTTTCCCGAGAGCGATATACTTTCATGAATTCCATCAGCGTGCGTCTCGTGTCTTGAACATCGAGAAGAGCTGTCTACCTCTCCCTCCCTCTCTCCCTTTCCCTCGCTCTCTCGCTCGCTTCCTCTATCAAAGCCGTATCAGATTAGAAAGTTATTATACGTGCGCGATGGACCACTAAACCAACCACATATTGCTACACGGAGCTCCATAATCTCCCCCGGCCGTACAGAGCGATCTGCTGACCTGGAATTCCATTATCGAATTCTGGATTGGTACAGTCTCCGGATACTGTCTACACGTCGACGACAGGTATCCCTATGGTCTTTCATTACTTCCCGATAATACTGTCCGCCCGAATCTGCTTTAAAAATTTCATCATCAACGTCGCTCGCCAACTCCCACAAGATCGGCCCGTCGCCGGATGTCTCTCAGCGTCCGTTCGGCTCGGCAAATCATTCAAGCTGCTCGCTGCACGACCACAGGATATGAGTCCTTTAGGGACGGTCCCGTTCGAGTCGAATGTTTCTTAATAAAACGATCTTGAGAGACGCTTTTAATAAAGATTTTGTGATTCGAATAAAATTGACTTTCTGAATATATATAATTATGTGTATTCATGTTTGCACGCACGCGCGTGTACTCCTTAGAATTTAATAAATATTGTATGACTATTGTAAAACTATGATAACGAGCATAAAAGCGGCAATCTTGTACTTTAAGATGACATCTCGACAAAAAATTGAAAAAATAAAATTTGCTTATTTCTTTTTCCGTGAAAAACTTTATACAATTTTGTTCTGTACACGATCGCCATATTTGTTCTCTTCAACGGGAAAGTCACTAGTTCGTTAATCAGGACGAAGAATACAACCTCTATCTAGGATGAATCGATGTTATATCGACGAAATCATTACTTTATAAGCATAAAACATTTGGGAACGAGTCAAAGTGAATGTGTATTGATCGGTTGCAAATCGGTTTGCACACTTTTCACCGAATGAAATTGCAACGCTTCAGAACTGTCAGAATTGTGAGAGCCACTTGTGACGTGTATACGCAGTAATCGGTTGTGACAGGAGCCGAAGTGATAGTACAGAGAGCAACATTTGTGTGAAATTTGGGAGAATGAATTTATTTTAAATTAAGAGAGCATTATTTTGAGAGAAGTAATTTTTATATATTTATAACCGGATTACTGCGTGTACGTGTCAGCAGTTGCTCTCAACTTTTTATATTTTTATATATTTTTATAACCGATTATTGCACTCTGAAAAAAATATATTCAATTACTTTTTTCTCTCAGTGCGCGTATATGTGTCAGCAGTGGATTTCAAATCTGACAAATTAAAACGCTGCAACTTCACTCGAAAACAAAAAGTGTGCAACCGTTTAGCAACCAAGTATATGCGCAGTAATGACAGAAACGGAAGTGACAGTGCAAAGTGTGACACCTGCGAAATTCGGAAGAAAAGACTTGTCTTCAGAGAATATTAAAAGAATATTATTTCAAGAGAGAAGTAATCTTTATATATATTTTTATAACCGATTGTCAGACATACACATCACTAATGGCTTTCAATTCTGACCATTTGAGACGTTGCAACTCCATTCGATGAGAAGTGCGCGAACCGACTTGCAACCAACCGACTTTAATCGGGACCCTAGAAGGTCACAATTCGGCAAAGTCCGAATTCCGACAATCCTGGCTCTATCTTCCATCGGAGCGATCTGGGAGCCGACCGGTGGACGATTTCGCGGATATTTTGCGCGGGTGCCGGCCGCGCGAAAGGGTCAAGGGTCGATTCCTTCCATGTCGTTTAACTTCGACCGTAGTTGAATTTAATTTAGCACCAATCTCGCCAACGCCGATTAACTTTAACCGTGCTTCTCAATTGTCCTTCCCTCTTCACCCCGTTTCACGTCACTAATCGGAACAAAAAAAAAATAGCGAAACAATTAAGCCACGGCTGGAAATTAATCGGCGGTCGACCAGAGATTGGCATTAAATCGAACAATCGATCGCGCTCCGCTGCGAGTCTCGTGATCGTTAATTCAAGTTAATCGAGATCCGGCCGATCATATCCGCCCGGCTTTGTTTCCGCCCTCGGAGAGAACCACCTCGCTTTTAGAAGAGAATGCGTTGGAATTATTATCGGACATGAAAAAAAGGAAAAAAACGGGAGAGAGATCAAGTAACGAGGAGAAGCTGACGTTTCGCGGTTGGTACTCGGCAAAAGCGTCCGACGGTGGAGCGATTAGAGCACGTTTAACGCGTATTTATGAGAACGACAGAGAGAGAGAGAGAGAGAGAGAGAGAGAGAGAGAACCTGAGGGAGATACGACGGAGCTTTCGCATGAAAGCCAATCGTTGTGCGGCGGCGACGGCTGCGTTGGTACCGTCGTACAAAATCAAATGTCTCTCATTATGCATGCCGCCCATTCGCACCACTTCGAACGGGTTAGGAAGGGAAGGGGAAGAGAAGCGAGTAGATATATACATATGAAGTCCGGGCGCGCGAGGGCGAATATATTCGCGGAAGTATCGAGGAGAAAAATTCGCGCGCTCAACTTTTTGAAGGTGGATGTTCCTTGAATTCGTTTCGTCGCGTCCTCATCGATCTATTCAAAAGCAATCTCGTGAGCTCCTTTGCGATTCTTATTTCGGTAAGCGGGCCTCGCCGCCTTGTTCCTGCCCGCTTCGATTCTTTTCTTCCCTCTCTCTCTTTCTCTCTTTCACTCTTTCTCTTTCACTCTCTCTCTCTCTCTCTCGTTTTCTTCTTGTCTTCTTGCTTCATTGAGCCATAATTATTTTCTCATTACTTTTAACACTATTTTCTTATATATTTTTATCAACGTTATCATACTTTTAATTAAATTTTTCATCATCCTTTCAATTCTTCAATTTTCTTTTCTTTATATGATTATTAGTTAGAATGTGTTCTATTCTCCTCTCTTTCTATCTATAACTTTATATTTACCGACTTATATTTTATCATTGCATTCTATGCTACAATACATTGTTTTTTACTATACTTTTATATACATATAAGATACTTCTATTATTGTATATCTGAAGAAGTTTTATTCTAAAGCTTAATACATTTTTTTCTTTCTCTCTCCCTGTTTCTTTTTCATTCTGCCATAATTATTTTCTCATTACTTTTTTCTTCTTATTCTTCATATCTTGTTATTAACATTACCAATTTCTAATTAAGTTTTTTATCGCTTTTTCAATGCGTGTTTAAATTTTATTATTATTATTATATAATCAAAATTTGTTCTGTTCCCTTCTTTTTTTTATTTTTCTATCCGTAACGTTGTATTATTACGTTATATATCTGCAATAATACTTTCTTTTTTTTCACTATGTTTTTATGTACATATACTGTATTTTCCTACTGTACTGTATGTCTGAGAGGATTTTATTCCAAGGCTTAATAAATCTTTCTTTCTCTCTCTCTTTCTTTCTCCCTTGCCGTCTTTATGCTAATATCTTTATTTTTAAGCTCGAGACAGAGTCATAAACGAGCACTCGAGTGCAAATAATCGTGCCGGGAAAGAAACAGTGTAATCTCGTTTTCAACCTCATCCGACAAATCTTTTACATCGAATCCGATAAAAAAAAAGAGAAAAAGAAAAAGAGAGAAGAACACAGAAGTTATTCCGGTGACTCGTGGCCGATTTTGAATGGCTCGAGAGTCGTCGTCGTCGCGGTCGTCGCGGTAAAAATATGCAAAAGGTTACGAGTGAAAATCCATAAATATCCCGGGCATTGTGAGACCGGTAACAAAGCAGCGACGAAGAATGGAGAATTAACAATGAGACGGATGGTAATGAGAGGTACGCGGACAGGCGAGTGAGCGAATTACCGCCTGACATTTACCGTTTTGGCGTGCGCATTTCGGTCAGGATAATGCGAAAAGCGATCGTTTCTTTGAAGTTCTCGCGCCGGCAAGATCCACTTTCGTGGGCCAAGCGCGCGCGTTCGCGCCGCGTTCGTTCGTTCATTCGTTCATTCGTTCGTTCGTTCGTTCGTTTGTTCGCAGGAATTTTTTCCACCGGCTATACAATCGCCTGCCAAAGTATCGACGTTCCTCTCCCCTGAAACAGTCTGCACGCGCGTTTCCCATCGATCGACACGTCCCGCGCGCGTCCTCTCGCGCGATCGAACGTGTCCTGTTTAGCACGCGCGCGCGGGTACACACACACACACACACACACATTACTACAAAGCAGACACGATGCGCGGCGTTAAACAATAGATGCAGCCGCGTCGCGCGTTGCGTCACTATAAATGCACGGTAAATGACACACGTCGCTTCGGGACGCCCGACGCACTCACTCACTCACTCATTCACTCTCTCTCTCTCTCTCTCTCTCTCTCTCTCTCTCTCTCTCTCTCT